CCCGAAACACAGTCGGGCTTACTGTGTTAAGCCCGAGGTCAGGCCCGCGGGCCTAATTATATGACCAAGCCTGGCCGGGCCGTCGGGCTACCCGGCCCATGAACAAGTCTACCTGTAACCATGATTCTTTTCCGGGTTGGATCATATCCGGTTTAGGCCATCTCCTACCTGACCCTTTTCAATCTGCTCAGATACATTGCATATTTTTAGGTCTTAATTAATTAAGACATAGGTATCGTGACATGATATGAGGGTAGCTTCAGCCTTGAATTTTTAATCAAAATGAGGGAAGAACCTGCAGACTCAAAGGGAGATCTAATTCAATTCTCCAGCTCTCCTCTCAAAATAGTAAAAGCAGGAATCATTTCACATAACAAAATGGTCTTGTCGGAAGCACAATTTTCAAGTTGGGTTTTTTGTTCCAGGTATAAAATCATCAATAGCAAGATTGAATGTCTGAAGCTCTTGGGTTGTGTATTTTTTAAGGGCATCAAAGCTGGTTCACTCTGAACGAAGCAGCAATAAATCTGAGCAATACTTGTTTGGGCGCACATGGGTACATTAAGAGTGCAAAAGCTTAGCAAATTACAGCACAAAAGAGTGCAAATATCCAGGCCCCATGCATGAGATTTGCCGGGCTACCATGAGAACAATAACCCAATTATTTGACTTCCCAACTCGTTGATTTCTTCAATTTGGAGGGCCAGAAAATTCAATAAAACTAGTATAGAAGAGGTCTATTTATTCTGTTATAGCAAAAATTTGGTGTAGAGGTCTATTTATTCTCTGTGTGGGTTCAGTGACCATACATACGATTTGGCCTGAATGAAAGGCATACGTCATTTAAGGAATCAAACCCTAGCTATTACCTAATTTTGTCTAGGAAGAGAAATAATATATAAGAGTCAAAGTAAATCAAAGAAGCTATATTGACTAGTTAGTCTAGAGACTATATTATCCTCATAATTCAAGGGTTCTGCACGAGTAGGTCCATTAGTTAAGTACTCCCTCAGTCCCTCTTTATGTATCAAACAATAACGTATTCTTTTCAACCAATCATCTCCATTATTTTATTGGTGGCAGTTTTTCAAAATTGAAAGGGAAAATGTCTTTTCTTTGGATGAAATTGTCTTCAACTCTCACTAAAATCGAAGTTTTTCTTCATTATGGTTGTCTGTGGCCAATCAAATTAATTATCATTACCAGACACTCCGGATTTGTCTATTGGGTCATTCTCGCTCTCACCAAGTAGTCAGCTTCATAACTTATCAGGTTATCATGTATTCAAGTTGTCCTATCTAAATGACAAATGGGTTTTGTGTTTTTATTCTGTTAATTTGTTTCCTTTGAAATAAAAAAAGCAGGGAGAGATGGGACCCTTCTCTTGTCATGTCCAGGAGGTCCCACAACATGAGATTTGGTCAGTGAAGAGGTAGACAGGTGGTTAATTGACTGACCAAACATGTGGACCCCTTTAGTCCCAAAACCTGAATCACAATGTCTAGAAATTAAGTTTTTCTTTTTTTTTTTTTTGTTCACCTCAATTTTTATTCTTCAAATTAAATGGGAATCGATCTTTAGATTCATCCCAATTGTTCGAACTTTGTAATTTGTTTATCTTATATTATACACTTCTAAAAAGATGTTTAAGAGATATTTCTGCTAAATCTATGGCCATTAAAATGTGAAAATGAGATAAAAACCCATAGCCACTTTATTGAATATGGATAATCCGGATGCATGGAACCATGGTTTAATGAAAACCTTGGCTTTCATACTTCTTGATTTTTAGAATTTCTAAACTTTCCAATAGCTCAAAAAATATTACAAATTGCACCCCATTTTGGTCCATCAGCAGTTAGCCGCACCTCACTGAAATATAACCTCTAACTTTTTTTTTTCAATATTTTTTAGTAATTTTATTAATTTTTTCTATCTATTACATTGAAAATTTGTTTGATTTTCATGGGTTTAACTTGATACGATTTATATATCTATGTGTTAATTAGGTTATTTAATGTTTTAAGCCCAAATAATTGCTCTCAACTATTATTTCCTTGGAGATCAGAGAATATATGTAGAATCTAGAACAATTGCAATATTGTCTTCTTTTGTTGTGGTCCAGATGAATATGTCATTGTTTGTCTTACTCCTATCTGTCTCTTGAATCTTGATTAGATATATAATTTCAATTTGGAACCAGGCGACAGCAGCTCTAATGGAGATTTCAGAAAGACTGTAGAGAAGGAAGCCAAAGTGCTGATTTCCTGTGAATGGACCGATGTTGGGGTTGAAACCAATCTAAATTAAAATGAATTTGAACAGATTGGATGGTTCAGACATTGAATTGGAGCAGTCCAAATTGGTTCAAAACATTCATTAGATTGAATTGGACCTGGTCCATTTATAATGGACTCACATTGGACCAAATCCAGTCCAATTGACACCTCTACTTACATAGCTTTTGCAGCTTATTCAGGTAAGAGCTACACGACCTTAAAAGTAGCTTCATTCTCTATATATAGAAAAAATAAAGTAAAATAAAAAAAAAAAAATTGTGTTCAATTCAATAGTTTTTACATAAGATTCATTCTTTGCTCATATATCAATTGCCTACTCCATGAAGTCTTCTATTTTTGTTTTTTTTTAAGCCATAAGGCAGAATTCATTATATAATAAATGCACAGATTACAACCCAGAGAAATCATATAGCAAGAAATGTTAAAAAATACAAAATTATAAATCAGACTAGTCTTGCATAAAAGAACCATGAACACCGGGAGAGAATAACTTGAGTAATCTCTGCAAACGATGCAAAAAGTCATGAAAATGCCAGAACGGAGGAGGGTTCATTTCTTCTATTAAATACAAATACTCTATAGCTACAAATTTGTGGTTAGTCACGAATTAAAATGAATAATAAATACAAATACTCTAGCCACAAATTTCTTTAATCATTGAAAAATGCAGTGCAATAGTATATTAGTCATGTCTCAATATGGACATTACTATATATATTTGTATCTGCACTATTCCATGGAGCCAAGGTTGATAAAATATGTGTTAGATATTTAGAACCAAACAAATATGAATTGTACTGTTTAATATTTTATCCAAATTTTCTTGTAATGTTTCACAAGCTAGCCATAATAAAGTGATTATTAACCTCTTGTAAATAAATGTGGTTTGCTAGTGGGTTGTTTATATGTGGAAAATTAATTTGGAGCTCCTATGGGCTATGGGGATTGGTTATATGAATTCCATTGCGTCATTCCGTAATTCCCATTCTGTCAATACCATATCCATTGTCTAAATCTCTCTTTTCACCTTCTATTTATGGGGGAAAAAAAAAAAAAGAAATTTGAGCAGTGTGGGCAACGTCGGCCATTGGCTGATGACTAATATTAGTTGTGAAAAGCACCAATACAACGTCGGCCATTGGCTGATGTGGATTTTGGGATTGACCATGTGGGCAATCCATATGGCTGACGTGGAACCTTTTTGCTGTTTACATATAAAACCACTTTGAGCAGTGTTTTTTCTATCCATACAGACAGTATGGTGATCTTTATCTCTTTTGTTCTAGTTGATCTGATTAAAGCTCACGGCACCAGTCAAAGCCTGGTCATCGACGTTTCTCTTTTTCTTTTATTTTTTTTCCCCCTTTTCATTCTGTATTAGGTACTCCTACATTAAACAACTCCTCAACCGTAGAGCTTGCTTTCCTAATCCAGCTTTAAACAAGAAAGACAAACACATAAAGCTGCTTTAGCCTTTGGGTTGCTTTGCTTTTAGCCTTTCATTTCAAGAGTCTGACCCAACTCCCTCCCCTTCCCTTGCCACTTCTTAACAAAACCCATCTGGCCCATGGCCTATTCCAACGAACGGCCTGGATCTTGCCACATCATCCGGAGTTTTTATACCTCATCATTAAATAGGCCCCACCTCCCCTCCCCACAAACATATGATTATATCATATAGTTGTAATCATCTGATCATACCAATTCAGGCTTACCCACTTCTGCAATGTGGTGGGCCCCAGTCTCCCAGATCTAAGATCGTGACTCCAAAGGACAGCTTGATCAAGTCACACGTGGATCGGCGAGGCATTTATACGGTACATCTCCGAAGGGCAGCACCTCCTCCTCTCGCAAATCTGTCGCAAACTACAAGCGTTCGATCAGCATCGGTCAACGATGCGCCGCATTCGGTGGATTTTCAATGTGAAAGAAGAGGAGGGAAAAGTTTATCTATAATCTATCTTATCTAGGTTGACTTTTATGGTTGGCAAATAACGTACTAATAATTCTGTTTTTCTTCGAAATTCGAAATTCAAACTCTTTTCTCTCTCTGCCTCCCGATTCGCGAACTCCTGCGATCGTCATACTCATCGCCATATCGCACATACGGAAAAAAAAATAAAAAGGAAAAAAAACAATTTTCGTTAATAAAGGGAAAAAGGCCAAGATAAAGCAAGGTGAGTGCTGAGGTTGCAGCTATGCTGAAAATTACAGAAAAGGACTAGACGAGAGGGATCGCATTGATTCCTTACCCAGGGTATTTCGGACATTGTACGAAGAATGGAATGATAGCGAAACCTAACATGCCTGGCCGACCAATCGAACTCCTTGAGTTAACCATAGTCAGGTCGATGTCTTAACCAGGGCTGCGTCCACTCATTCTGAGAGAGAGAGAGAGAGAGAGTATTTAATCAATCAATCAAGGGAGAGAGAGAAGGAGAGAAGCTTTGCTTTTGCTATTTATTGTGTTGTGTGGAGTAGAGCCTATAAAAATATCGAACGAGATGATATCTTGTCGCTCTTCTTGTTGGTAAGTTGTAATCTCCATGAGAGCTCTGGTTTGGAGATTCGAGATCTGTTACCAAGTTTGAATTCGAAAAGGAAGGAAAGAAAGAAGAGATCCATCTTAATCTCACGCAGACTTTAGGTGAGATCTCCATTTTTTACTGGCTTTCAAAGTTATACGTACTAGACGAAATTCATGATCTCTGTGTGTCGTTTCAATTCGCATATTGCAGTAGGAACGTAGAGAAGAGGAATTGAATCGATATCGGATTTTGTGTTTTGGGTTTTGTTTAGACTTGATCATGCAGCCTTGCAGTAGAGAAATGCAAGGAATGGCTTCCCTATCTCAAATGGCTCTTCAGGAGCTCCAAAATGGTCAGCAACAGCAGCAGCAGATGCCCAACCCGCAGCAGATGCACCAGGTTCAAGGTTCCCACTTCGATCACTCCTCTCACGATGATTTTCTCGAGCAAATGCTCTCTAATCTCCCTTGGACTGACCTTCCTGGAAACCCTAAATCTCCCTGGGACCTTAACCCTCAAAACCCTAACGGCAACGCCGCACCCAACAATAACGGCACCAATAACACTGCCACCAATCAGAAGCTCTTTAACATCCCAATCGGCGCTTCAAACGGGAAACCCAGAGACTTAACCGAAGACCAGTCGTCGTCGCAACCGGAAAGCCTTCACTACGGTTTCGACGACTCCACGCTCCTCGCGTCACGTCTCCGTCAGCACCAGATAAGCGGGAATTCTCCGGCAGCCAAATCGATGGCTTTTCAGCAACAGTTACTTCTTTCGAGGGGTGTTGGCGGTGGCGCTGGAATGCCGAGATTGCCGACGTCTGTTCCCGGAGCTGCCTCTCTCGGCGCCGAGTCGGGGCTTCTGCAGCTTCCATTAAGCTTAGGCAGTGCTGATTCCTCTGATTCCCGCCTCCTCGTCGACCGATCCCGCGACGATGTTGTCGATGCTTCCTTTAAATCACCAAACCCCGTAAGTCCCTCAAAAACCCTACTCGAAAAAAAATGGAACAAAACTGCCTATTTCTTTCTTTTTCTTAATTTTTTTCTTTGAATTTCAGAACGGAGAGGCTTCTGTTCAAGGGCTCTATAACGGATTCGCCGGATCTCTGCCTCGAACCGGTCAGACACCAAACCAGCAGCATTTCCACCATCTTCAGGTCTGCACTACGCACTCATTCACTTGTTTACTTAATTTTACTTTCTCGGTTTGGTTAAATATTCAATTGACTCTTTTAGTTCATGTAGACCGGATCGATGTCAACACAAAATTTCGGTGCACCGGCAGCGACGGGAATGAACCAAGCACCGCCAGCGGCGGGGGCGCCAGCAGGTGGCGCCGCTCCCCAGCGGCAGAGAGTTAGGGCGAGGAGAGGCCAGGCTACCGACCCACACAGCATCGCCGAAAGAGTAAGCTAATTAAAATAAAACAAAATTTTGTTTATTTTTAAATAAGAAATATATAAATGGGGATGTCAGGAGTCAGGTAGTGGAGGGTGTGTTTGGTTTTTTCTTCCGTGTCGTTATTTTTGCTTCTATTCGCTTCTTCTGAACTCGGACGCGGGCGTGGCTTGTGGCAGTTACGGAGGGAGAGAATCGCAGAAAGAATGAAAGCTCTGCAGGAACTTGTGCCCAATGCCAATAAGGTATTCCATTTTTTATTTTTCTCTCGTTTTTTTATTAATGAAATTACCATGTTATATGAAGACAAGTCGTAATGGAATGGGTAATTTGGTCACCACAGGAACAAGGTTTCCCGGTTGATGAATTTCCTGTGCACAGACCAAAATACCCCTCTTAATGATAATTAATACGCAAAGAGGGCATGTCTGTCAATTCCTTTAATATTTGTATCTTCCATTTTATATTGAAGGCTAAATGGGTAGGGTTATTTTGGTCATAAAGAAACCTTAAAGATGCATTTATTCGAGAGGTATCGCCGGGAAAAGAGGGTAGCGTTCGGTGTCCATCTTTTCTTCCGTGCGTACTTGAAAGCCAAAAACGTCCCTATCCTTTATACCAGCAAGCGTGTACTATTCTTAAAACCCGCAGGGTTGTTTTCGTCTTTTCATTGGCTCGAGTTCAAGTTATTAATTATTATTTCTCTTCTGTCCTCGTTAATGTTTTTGCTTGTCTTTACGCGTTAATTTTTAAAATTATTTTCTCTGTGATGGTGGGGGGTTGACAGACTGACAAGGCATCGATGCTGGACGAGATCATCGACTACGTGAAATTCCTCCAGCTTCAAGTCAAGGTGAATATATATATTAAACGAAACCCCAGAGAAATTAAAAGCTTATAATTTGATTCCATTAGGCTTCCCTTTCTCTTTCTCAAAGCAGAAAAGATTCCCTCTGACACCTTTGCTTCTCTGATTCTTTCAGTTTTTATGGGCTTCTCTGATTCTGGGGTTCGTCCTCTCTTTTATTTTTTCTTCGAGATTTGCAGGTTCTGAGCATGAGCAGATTGGGCGGTGCAGCAGCTGTTGCTCCCCTCGTGGCTGATATTTCCTCCGATGTAAGACTCCAGTCTCCACCACCACCACTACCACTAAACTAATTCGAGCTCTAAAGTCTAAAACCAATGCTGGAAAATCAGAAAGAATTCAATGATCTCTCCGTTTTTTCGTAAGAAAGCAAGGAGTCGGTCCCATCTCAAATTCTCAATCAGGACTCAGGAAGACGACGAAACGAAAAGGAGCACGCGTGCGTGCACGCTTTTCAGATTCCGAAAATGCCCCTAACCTTCCTCCTCTTTTGTCCTCTACTCCTCTTCTCTTCCTTTTCAACGTAAAAATAGTTTTTTATTTTTTATTTTTTATATGTAGAAATGGAAATATTAATATATGTTGATTTTTCTTTGTGTCGTAGGGAGGAGGTGACTGTATTCAGGCGAGTGGAGGACGGAGCGGTAACGGCAACCAGACGGCGTCGTCGAACGACAGCCTAACGATGACGGAGCATCAGGTGGCGAAGCTAATGGAGGAGGACATGGGGTCGGCGATGCAATACTTGCAAGGGAAAGGCCTCTGTCTCATGCCAATCTCCCTTGCCACCGCCATCTCAACCGCCACGTGTCACACCAGGAACCCGACCAATGGCAACAACCCTCTTCTCTCCTCCAACGCCGAGGGCCCTTCGTCACCCAGCTTGTCCGTTCTGACTGTGCAGTCGGCGACTATGGGGAACGGAGGGGGAGAGGCTTCCGTTAAAGACGCCACCTCCGTTTCAAAACCGTGAGAAGAACAAGGAAAGAAGACTGGCCGACAGACACAGAAGGAGAGAAACGTGTGCTGAACAACCAAGGGAAAAGAAAAAGAAAGGTTGAGAAAAAGGAAAGGGAAGTTTGAAGGGGGGCGTCAAGTCTACTAAAATAAGGTGGTCTCTGGTGTTTGACGCCGTATTTACATAGACTTGGCTTTGTAGTACAACTTCCACCCAAACCCGAGAACCATTTTTAATCCTTCTCTCTCTGCTTACTGCTTCTTCAGTTGTTTATTAATTTATTTTTGTTTATTTTAATTTTGTCGTTTTATTATGAAGTGAAATGTTTAATCTAAATAAAATGATAATTATGGCGATGATTAAAATTAGATAATGATGACTAGAAAAAGAGTTGTTGGGGGCTAAAGAAAGTGGTGTCTGGTGTGCAGTACTTGCCAGAACTGTGGAAAACCTATAAAATAATGCGTAGTGGGGTGGGAGCGTTGGCCAAATGGGGAAAGGGTGCCCTGCACGGGCCGTCTACGATAGTACCCCTTTTAGCCGCATCGCGTGGGCCATGGCAATGATGTGTGTGGGTCCTATTTTCGTGGTGGAACCTGCTGTTATGAGGACGGTGAATGGGGGCCCGGCCCGTCGGCCCATCCCATATGTTACTGTTATTGTTGCAGTGCCGATGCATTGGCCTTTGGGCCTTTGCCAAGGGGAAAAGATTGGTTGGTTGGTCGTGGGAGAAGCATGATGCGGGGCATGCGGCGGAGAACATGTGCAATCTAAGCAGAAAAAAAAAAAAATTGAAAAACTAGTATTTGGTGGTGTGGTTGAGCAATTGAGATTTGGGAGCAAAGACGTTGACACACTTGGGGTCATCCTGGGGCATTAATGTGGTAACAAGATCTGAAGATCTAAAGATGGTAATGGGCGGTGGATAACGTCAACGCGTTTCTTGCATTTGACTTGAGGGTAAAGAAAACTCCTAAGAAAGAGTATGTTGTTGAGACTTGTTAGGAGGATGTGCTGCTTCATGAAAATCCATTGCCCACCAGTATTCGATGATGATTTCATCTCTGCCAACATGTCCCAACCGGCCACTGCAGCCGCACATTGGGAACATCTCCCCCATGACATGACATGGCGAGATGGAGATGCTCCTAATGTACGGGTGCAATGGCTTGTTGGGAGCTTCTTATTGGAAGCCCTACCCTGATTCCATATTTTGCATCTTTACCCTTTCTTTTTCTTTGCTGTGCCACTTAATTAGCATATTTACTGTAACTAATAATGAATTTTTACTATTAATTGTTTGATATAATAGTACAATCTTGGGCTGACAAATACGAGTGTGAAAAGGGTCACTTTGTGTCGACTGTGGACGGTGAAAAATGCCAAAAATCAAGTTCACATCTGGTCTAGCCCTCCTAAGACCCCAGATGAATTGGACCAATTTCAGATATTGGCCTTCTTTTTTTAACAAGTCTCTTCTCGTGGTCCCCTTAACCAACTGCAACTTGTTGAACCAATACCCATTTGGAAAAACCTAGCTAGAAAACTTATTTTTAAATCATTATATCAATTTCATCTGGCCCATGCCAACGAGGCCCGTGTGTAGTGAACCAGATCTGGTCCTCTGGTGCATCAATTAGTCATGCATTCCTGTGGCTTTTGCTTTTAATTATATTGGGAAAAGTCTGCTGGTGGAGTTGTGTAATGAATAATGAGCTTTCCAAAATAGAGATGTCAGTGGGTCGGATTAAGTGGTAAATCCACACTGACCCGATCTTATCAGGAGGTTATAGTCGCGTTTGAGTTGAAGTGGACCCGTGCTAAACCCTGTCTATTGATGAGTTGGGTTTGACATTCCATGATCCCAAGTCCCGTTTCAGGTTGGGTCGGGTTGGACTGAGATTAGTCCGGTCGATTGGCATCCCTTTACTTAGGTTGTATTTAGGCTGCATTTGGCATTCTTTATTGTAAGGATTTATCTTTTTTTTGGGAAAATCTACGATGCAGAAAAGATATGGTATGAAAAGAGTTTTGACCAATCAAAAGTCATCTATGAATTTTGATAAATAACATCTTATTTGCTCTTACATTTGTGGTTTCAGTTTATTGGTAAGTTATTTTTCCTATATCATATCTTTTCCATATCATAGTCGAACCCTTTCTTTTTTCTGTTAAAATGCTCCTATGAAAACTTAATTTTTAATTGCAAAATGTAGATAAGTCCTTAAAATAAGGAATGCCAAATATAAACTTAGATTATTCATGTGGGAAGTTAGTTTGAGATTTGAAAAAAAAAAAAGATCAGATTAAAAACTGTTGATGACATGTTCTCTAAGCTCCATTTGGAAATACTAATTGAATAAATAAGTACTTATCCTAATAAGTGCTTATGAGTGTTTGGTGAAAAATCATTAAGCATTTCTTCTAAATGGGAGAAAATCTATAATGCCCGAAAAACATGATACCAGAAATGTTTTGGTTAATCACAACACTTATTAATTTGATGAAAATCAAAACGTGATTGTTTATTACTTTTATAATATCGCGGGCTAAGATGGACTAAAAACATAATAACCTCTTTTTGAATAAAAACCAAAAACTTCAATTTATTCAAACCGGGCTTACTTCTTGAATAAGTGCTTATTTGGGCTAAATTCATATAAGTATTTATCAGTGTTGCATCGTAGTTTCAGCTTAAAATAAACACTTTTTTCAATAATCATTAAAATACAGGCACCCCAAACAGAGAGAGAGGCTAAGTCATGTACTGATATTTCTGTGGAAAAACCTAAAACCCATGATACATTTCTCCAGCTCCAATAATCTTTCCCAGAGTCCAGACAAAGTAGTTGCTAAATTCGGTAGATTTTAATTCAACTTATACGCCGAAATCAGTATAATCCAAATAAAACAATCTTATCTATATATATATATAATCAGTATAATCCAAATAAAACAATCTTATCTTATCTATATATATAAGATTAAGATAAGAGCAACCCTGTTATTAATTACAGCAATTAATAGATCTATTGATTATTACAGTAATTTAATAAATATATAATTAGTGATTAAAATTAATAATTACTGTTATTATAAATATTGTTAATAACTAGATATTTATTTTAAAATTATAAATATTAATAAATTATTTATTATTACAGTAGTTTAATAAATATATAATTATGATTATAATTAATAATTACTATTATTATAAATGTTGTTAATAAATAGATATTTGCATTAATTTTACTTAAAATTAAAATTATAAATATTGTTATTAATAAATTTAGTAATTATTGTTATATTAAAAATAATTAAAAATTTTATTAAAAGTATTGTTATTGATTATTTAATAAAATATTATAATTACTGACTATTATTGATAAATATTGTTAATTTAATTTAATTTTGGTAATTATTAATTTAATGAATATTGTTAATGTTAATAAATCCTATTCATAAATTTAATATTTATTATTATATTAAAAATAACTAAATAATATTATTAAAACTATCATTAATGATTATTTAATTAAATACTATAATTACTTACTATTATTGATAATTGTTGCTAATAACATTTTGACAACCAACGGTTCGACCGTCCGGTTTGAACGGATGGCCCATGTTGACAACAAAAATTACAAGCAAAAAAGTTACGGAACCATTTTGGCCACCGATTTTTGGGTCGACAGTTTGATCGTCCGATTCAAATGGACGGTTTGTTCTGACAACAAAAATTATAGGCAAAAAATTGAGTTTGTGAGGTCCATTAAGTAGTATTATACGTGTTATGTCATTCGAGCATGAGTCATACGACCTAAAAATGGAACTGTTCTGGCCACTGATTTTTGGGTCAACGGTTCGACCATTCGGTTCGAACGGACAGCCTGTTCTGATAACAAAAAATTACAAGCAAAAAATTACAGAACCATTCTGGCCACCGGTTTTCGGGTCGACAGTTCAATCGTCCGGTTCGAACGGACAACCCATTATGACAACAAAAATTACAAGAAAAAATTGAGCATGTGAGGTCCATTAAGTAGTACCATACGTGTTATGCCATTCGAGCGTGTGAGTCATACAACCTGAAAATGGAATTGTTCCGACCATCGGTTTTCAGGTTGACGGTTCAACTGTCCGTTTCGAATGGACGGCCCGTTCTGACAACAAAAATAAAAAAATAAAAAAAAATAAAAAAAGCCAAAAACCATTGAACGGGTCAACAAGTTAACGATTCGATCACTCGGGTCAATGGGTCATTGATCGATTCAATGGTTTTTGGCCAGGGACTGGGATTGGGGTAAAATGGAACTAATTGCCTAGACGGTTCTCAATTAAAAAATAAAAAACGAACAACCTGTTCTAACAAAAAGAAGTACAAACAAAAAATTGAGTGTATGAGGTCCATTAAGCAATACCATACATGTTATGTCATTCGAGCGTGTGACTCATATGACTTGAAAACGGAACCGTTCCTATCACCTGTTTTCGGGTTGACAATTTGATTGCTCGGTTCGAACAGATGGCCCGTTCTAGCAACAAAAATTAAAAAAATAAAAAAATAAGAAAAAACCATTAAACGAATCAACGGTTCAATCGTCTAGGTCAATGGATTATTGACTGATTCAACAATTTTTGGCCATGGACTAAGATTAGGATAAAATAGAACCGATTGTCTAGATGATTCCCAATTAAAAAAATATAAAAATAGCCAAAAATCATTAAACAAGTTAACGATTCCACCACTCAAGTCAATTAATCATTAACCAATTCAACAATTTTTTAACAGAGACTAAATCAACGAATCAACAGGTCGACGGTTCCATTCCAGCATCTACGAATCAGGCCCTCTCCGCTAGTATCAATATATTCTAAATCGATTTCTGAAATCTGAGTAGGTTAAGGCATGATGAGACAGGAAGCATCATATCTATTGTTTTGTTTTTTTCTTTTTTTTTTTGTATGTACAGAGTTTCAAGGGGTCCCACTACGGGAAGTACACTGGTTACTGAAGAGTGGGGTCGGGAGCAGATTGGATAGATTGAGTAATTGAGGTGGGCATTGTATCCTTTTGGTTATATGTTCTTCGCATGACGCCAGCGTCTCGTCAACCTATCGTATGCACTATGCACCATTCAACTTCAACGTGTGCATGCAAACATTATAATTGGATTAGGTTTTGGACTGTCCCTCGAATTGCTGGGATGAGTAAAAGAATAGATTCTACCCGCAATCGAATGAAACTGATACCGAACCACGTAGTGTAGGGTTTGGATAATCGATTCTTGTATCGGTATTGTTTTTATATTTTTATTTTTCGAAACTGATTCAGAGGGATTGGTTTAAGACCGGTTTATTCTTT